GGATCTGGGTGTGGCTGTGGGGTGTGGATATAACTGTTTCTGAACACCCACACACCCACACCCCACCCACACCCACACCCACACCCACACCCACCCACACCACACCCACACCCTCGCCGAAAGTCAGTGATATGTTTGTATAAAAGTTTCGGTGATCGTAGTTTTCGGCGATGAAGTACTCAATCTGCCAAACAACTTAACCTCTCAAACATGGTAGTTCGGCGAAAACTTACTTCTCTGGCAAATCGGATGTGTTGCTGAGAATTCATGTTCTGTCTTAGAAAACTATTTGATTTTCAGACATTCATGCAGTTTCATGAAAAGCTATTAAAATTCTTATGTGCTCGAAGAGGAAAGACCTGATCAACCTGTGATTTTTACTATATGTATAGTGCTCAGAATAGAAAACTGCATGCTCGGAGAAAATATTTTACAAGAAGATTTAAGTGTTGTTTTCTAATACGTCCTGACTTTCAATAGAACTGTTACTTGTTACACTACAATCCCATTCCACTTTCTTTGGTCAAATCACAATTTTCAACATAGATACCTGCAAATATCCTCGTGTAGAAAAACTACTCAGTCAAATGTTTGACATGAGTTTTCCTATTTATAGCAGTCAGAAAGTCATCAATCCAATATCGGCTATGAATCCTGACTTATTACGCTTTTGAAAAAGAGAATAAGTCAATTGTTCGAAAAAAAATTCAATTATTTCAAAAAATTTCTTATAAGCTGTCTCAAAGAAAATTTTCAGTCAAACTTTGGGAAAAACTTCACGTCAGTTGGCATGAATGAAGGTCTAACTCGATAGAGGGTGGGTGTGAGTGTTGGTGTGGATGTGGGTGGGTATGGGTGTGGGTGTGAGTGTTGGTGCGGATGTGAGTGGGTATGGGTGTGAGTGTGGGAATGTGTGCGTGTGTTTTCCCTTTATTCATACGCATACCCCACAACCACACCCATACCCTAAAGTTATATGTTGTTTGTTCGATCAAACTCCAAAGCAACAACATATAATTGACTCATTTCGACCGGATACGAAATCAAATAGTTTTCAACGTCCACGATCTGAAATGAATATTGCAAGTGGTATTCCGAAGTTTTGTTCATTGTCTATAATTCAAGCCGATGGAAATGCTTATATTCGAGATGATACAATGTTCATTAAAATTATGATGGATTTTGGTGATTTACCGAAAAACTCATTACAATTTATATTAGGTCTTAATCCAGGATTTCCAATGAATATTCAACAAGCTATTATGAAAGAGGAATCGAAAAAGCAAACTCAATAAACATTCACTTCAACATCAACTTGAATAAAGAATATAAGCAATACTTTTTCATTAGTAAACCATAACAAAGTAGTATCTTTTACAGATATGTTGCACAAAATGACTAAAACCAAACTGAAGAGAAAAAATTAATTTCTATTATCTTTGGTTAGGCATATTCAAAAATTTCCTGTTTCTAAGTTTATATTGTTCTTTTCATATTTTATTCATCAGTGTGAATACTTTATTTAACTAATCAAGATTTATAAATTTTCATATTCATAGTCAAAATCTAGCTTTAAGAACTATACTACTTTAGTATATATTCTTGCTTTAAGTATAGGAATGTAAAAACAATGCATCAAAATTGATATCTTATTTGATATTGTATTGGCATATGAATATTTAGATCAAGAATATTCTCTAATGAAAGATATCTGTTCACAAGATTTTTTTTCTTCATTCTTAAGTATAGATTTTTATTTTATTTTTGTAGTAAAAATTTGGACCAAAAATAGTCAGAAATATATCAAACGTATCAAGTCGCAAAATTTATTCGAAACCAGTTTTTATGATTTTACTCTCAAAAAAAAAAAACTTGCAAATAAGTTTTGAAAATTTATTGTTTCATTATTGATAAAATTGACTTTTTTGATATCATAGCAAAACATCATAAATATAAATTTGTACTATAAGTTTTTCATCATCGAAACTTTCAGCTTCAAATCAAAAACAAAATTAGTATTTGCTTTTCTTAAGATTGACACTTAACGATAATTAGTTTTAAGTATTGAGTATACTATTTATGTCGATTCGCAAAAAAAGAATGATATTCGTAAGGAAAGTTTGAATATTCAAAATGTTAAAATTCAAATTATATTTTTCAAAAACTAAATATAAATGATTTTCTAACTATAAAATAAAACTTTCGAATAAATATTGAGAATTGTTGCTTTTTTTTGATTTCTTTTAATTGAACTATTCTAATTACTATGCTACAAAAATTTCATTCAAATATGTTCAATTATCATATTATTGAGATTTTTGTTTTATTATTATTGTTATGTTATATTTGTACTTGTGTTTATTTATTGTTTTAATAGTTTATTCATTTTTAATCATATATATAAATGTATTTTGCATGTTATTAGCTTTACATTCGATGTATATTATAATAAAACAACGTATTATTTTTTTTTTGGCAGCACAATATTAGTTTACAGAACAAATATACTTCTAATATTTCAAAGTATACTACGCTTAAATTTTTTGAGTAGGCTATGAAAATTCAGCTATGTTAAGTATGACACAACGATTGTTGAAAATTTCATAGTACCTTTATATACACAAAGAACATGACTAAAATCGTTTGTTATTGGATTAATGAAAGATGTTGTAAAAAGTTCTTGTACAAAAATCAAAATCTATAGTTCCATTATTTTAAAGGTTATAAGTCCTTTTCTTTTTTCTCGTTATGATTAATTACCAATTCAAAACATCTCAAGACTTGTATACATTTAATAAAACAAATCAATTGAATAGTATATTGAATAACTTTCATCGACGAAATGTCTGAAATATTCAATTAAAATAATATTCAGAATAATAGTTCTATTTGATATACCTTATTGATTGTTGATAATATTATTCTACGATATTTTCTTCCATTTGAAGTGTCGCTATAATGATACATAAAATCATAAATATCCTTTGACGTGGCCCTTGGCTATTCTTATATTTTGATGATGTACTCGGAGTTTTCATACAATTTTATTATAAACAATTGCTTATATAATTATTTATCGTAATGTCTATTAAGGCCCCCCCCCCCCACTCAAAAATCGATCTCAGCCCAGGAAAGTTCAAATGGGCTGAAACTTGGAGCATATGTTGGGACTGAAGTGAGGGGGCTGTGGTAAAATTTTCAGCTCGATACCCTGATGTTTGACAGAGATATGGACCAAACAAGGGTCAAAAATAGCTCATTTGGCAATCCATTTTTCTTTGTCCAGGCTCCTTCAATATATTTAATTTTTTTTGTTTGAAAGAGCATGTCAGGATGCAGTGCAGTACAGAGTCCTTTTTTTTAAAGTCTTACTTTTTTAGCGAAAAAAGGGAATCACAAGTTCAATGACTCAAAAAACGCGCCAAAAACGGGTGTCTAATTATATAAATGTCTGTATATATAATGAAAAATAAAGCTTAATTAAAAAAGGACTCTGTACTGCACTGCATCTTGACGTGCTCTTTCAAACAAAAAAAAATTAAAATATATTGAAAGAGCCTAGACAGAGAAAAATGGATTGCGCGGTTCAGAAAGCTTAAACTGAGAAAAAACGAAAAACATTTTTCGTTTTTTTCGAAATAAGCATATTTTTCAAGAAGACGTTAATGGAAATCATCAAAAATCTTGTCCGAAACGGGGGTGTCGGCTTAAAAATCATATTGTTTCCGAAAGATTTGAAGACGGGCTATCTTCCCATGCATTTATCTCAATTTCGAAATTTTTGATGAAAACGAAAATTTTTTGAGTGGGGGAGGGCCTTAAAATCTGTATAATCGAGTTGTACAAAAACAGACATCCGCTATATATATATATATAAGATCATTATTCTTCATTCGTTTCTTCGTACAAGTAGGAGTAACTCTCTCCCCCCCTCCCTTTTTTGACCTGCTCTGCTTCTAGAAGATGCTAAAGTCAATTTAGCTGAATTTTTTATCTCAGACAGACCACTGAAATAAGCAGACAGATGTTCGAGAAAAGAAAAACAAATTTTAAAGTGAATTTTTGTGGTTTTTCCTGAAAATCCTGATTTTCTATAGAATCACATCGTGGTCTATTACAACTCTCATCAAACATTATCCGATCAGGTTGACAATGGTTTTCGAGATGCTCAAGATTTTTTTCTAGAGGTAATTTAAAGCTTTTTCAAAAATCTCATTTTGATAATTTTTTCTTAGAGAAATGTGTATAGGCTTACCTCGTTTTTTTTTAATATTATTCTAAATAAAAGAAAAGAATTTCAGTATAATTACCATGGAAAAAAAGTTTCTCTTATTTCAATATCTTTATAATAGTAAGCTATTTAGATTCATATTGAAGTCTCTAATTGTGAACGACACTTGATGATATCATATCTTATATTCAACTCGAAATCGAGTCTTGGATCGAAAACGAGGAGTAGAGGGCATGTATTCTTAAAGTATAGAAAATAGTCTAAAAGAATGAACTAATAAAGTTAATGAAACCTGATTTCTTTTTTAATATTGATCTTCATCAATTAATTTTCTAGATTATCAAAATCAAATAAATAATTTTTTCATATAATCATATGAAAAATAGAAAACGTATTAAAATTCTCGAACATATTTCAACTAGATTTACTATTCATTTTCAATAAATAGAAGTTCTACAAGTAGAAATGATTCATATTCTCAAAAGTCAACTAGGATTTTTTCTAGTATATCCAATCTAACTATTATTTATATGAATAACTATGATGTACCAAGAAATGATTACAAAAAAAATAAGACACTTGCATGACTCATTCACCACTGTACGAAAAGAATACGTTAAGGATTGTGTTCTTTTTCTTGCTCGAGTGCGTCATTGTGGTAAATCAACGTTTGAGTCATACAGACAGGATGTAAAAGGTTAACACTTGAATTTTGTCATCGTAACTTAACTACGATTCCGCGAAAATGAGCGCCCATCATATTTACAATTTATGACGCATTAAAAACATATATACATATGTATTTAAACGCTAGTATCATTTCGTCAACTTTATGAATTATAAATTAAGTTTAATTTTTGTCTCATCATCAGTTTTTCACAGTAAGTAGATTTATTATTTAATAATATTTCTTCATTAATACCGTAATCTGATTTTCAGATTGATAAGATAATGTGTGGCTTTGATACAAAAAACAAACTTATTCTTAATAAAAAATTTATTTGTCAATATTGTTCATTGATATTGAAAGATCCAGTTCAATTAAATTGTGGTCATCGACAATGTCAATCGTGTTTTCAACGGCAACATGAGTATGTTTTATTATTTATATAAATTTGATTTTTGTTTATTATAATTTTAAGAAGGATAATTAAATGTCAAGAATGTTCAATAGAATCAATGCAAGATCAAGTGAACTATTAATTTTATTTTATTTGCATAAAAATTTATTTCCTATTTTAGATAAGGTCTGATGAAAGTTTCAAAAACGAGATGCAATCATTAACAATTGATTGTTTCTTTTGTGATTGGTTTGGCATTCTACAAAATTATCAAGTAAATAAATCTTATATTTATCTTATTTTATAATGTTAAATTATTTTCTATTAAAGGAACATCTTGATCAAAATCATATAAATCCACAATGTGAATATTGTCATGCACAATTTGATACAGTTGTGCACCTTAATGAACATAAAATTGTAGCATGTGAAAAGAATACTATCGATTGTTTGTTAAAAAAATTTGGTTGTGATAAACAAGTAAAAATATTAATTAATTGAGAATAATTGATCTGAAATTATTTTCTATAGATTCATTATCATAATATGTGGGATCATTATTCAAGTGAATATCATCAAAATTTATTAATAAAAATTATTCAACTAGTAAAATCACAAATAGAAGATATGAAATTATTATCGACTCAAAATCATACTGATCCTACTCAAACAACAATACCTGTTAATTTAGATTTAATTCTTTTTCATGAATTATTGAAAACACTTAATATTCAACTAGAGAATTTAAATATAGAAGAGTATTATACACAAAATTTCATTAATAATGAATTATTTCAATATCACAGAAATTCTCCAACATCATCATTAGATTTATTTAAATCTAAACTATCTGAACAAGAAAGCTTGTCATCTTAAACCTTCAAAGACAGAAATATGAAACTTACATGTTGTGTTTTAGTTTCATTGTTTTAATAGAAAATCTGGAAGTATTTAATAAATCTAAAAGCTGATTGTTCATGTCGAACAGATACTGTCTAATATATGTTTTCGAAGAGAATAGTGAGTGTAAACTTTAATTTGAAGTTTTTTGGTTCAATACTTATAATAATAAAAAATGAAAACTAACTAATGTCGGATTTTTTTAAAGTACCAACGACTATTTTTTGAATAACTTTTCAATGGCTCAAGTTATAGAGATCGGATTTTCACCGTTAGAAAGAGTAAGGTGGGGGACGTCGATCTATATAAAATTCATTAGGTTTATGACTCTTATTGTATGGTTGTTTGTAGTCAAATATCTTATCGCTTGTCTATTTTCATGAGTTTTCATGACAAGTTAACATCTAATTAGATCAAAATGATTTTGATCGAATTAGATGTTTAATTGTCATGAAAATAGACAACCGATAAGATATTTGACTATAAACAACCATACAGAAGACTCATAAACCGAATGAATTTTATATAGATCGACGTCCCCCGCCTTGCTCTTTCTAACGGTGAATATCCAACCTGTATAACTTGAATCGTTGAAAAGTTATTCAAAAAATAGTCGTTGGTACTTTAAAAAAAATCTGACATTAGTGAATAGTATCAATGAAAATGAAATATAAAGAGTATGTGAGGAAGCAGAACCGTTAGAAAAATAAAAATAAAATTCCTGTTTGAAATACCGAAAATAGAAAAGACGGTATTTGTTAACAATTGATCATCTGTTAGATATTTTTCATTATGTATTTTGTATTAGTATAATGAATCTACAAGAGACATATGAGTTTCACATTTCAATTCAACAGAGGTTACGTTAACAAGCTTTTATTAGTAAATTTTGATAAAAAAAATGATTCTTATTTCACATGGACATCGTGTTTTTGTTTCCATTGTTGTTATTTATTCATTATTTTTCTTTTTCTAATTTTTAACTTGTAATTAATTATTAAAAGTAATAAAAAAAAATAACAAACAAGACTGTTGCAAATAGGGTGCGGATGTGGGTGAATACATATTTCATACCAACACTCATACTCACATCCACTCACACCTGAACCCTAAAAGATTGATATTTCTATTTGAAAGTTTGATATCTTCCTACCTTGCATGCGTATTGTATGATTTTTTTCGAAATGTTTCCTTTATAGTTGAAAAATTAAACTAATTCAACTCGGTAGTATTTTAAGCTTCGCCTTAGTTATCGCTCAATATTTCTTCAATAGTCTTCTATTCTCACTGCTTATTTTTGAATTTATTCGATATTTAACCTATGTGATTTAAGAAGTATCTGACATTGATAAAAATATTGATGTGGTCCATTTTTTTACTTTGAAACCGTAGATTGTAGAAAATTTCGATGAATCCATTCAAGATCAACTATCATCAGATCAAAATAAAAGTATCAGAGGATGTGAATATCACGAATTATATTACGAGATACAATATGATGATTGAAGTCTATTTTTGTTATGAAACTATTCACACTTGGCAAGTATATCTCTGAATCATATAGAGTCTCAATTGAAATTATATCATGAAAAGAAAATATCTTCTTGAAATCAGAATATTTATTATTAGTCATGAGATAATAATCGGTAATAGACCTTCGTTCTTCTAAACGTATTTCTTAATTTTAGAGTCGTATGAATAAACTCTTCCTTATGTAATTATATAATTTATTTTCGAAGAGGAGAGCAATTATGAAAAAAAATTATTAAAATCTTTTAATATAGATAAAGCACCACGTACAAAATAAGTCGCTATAGCTACTTGATATTCGATTTCTGTTTGATTATTATTAAAAATAGCATCACTGATAGTAGGAAAACCACTTGCTGCATATTGATTATCTTTAGATGGTGCAAAGACAATATGTCTTAAATAGAAATATTAAAATAGATTATTGAAAGAAAAAATTCAATTCCTACTTAAAATCAGTATAATCACCACCTTGACCTAATGGATTTAAAAATGAACGTTCAAGTTGTAACAATTGATCATTATAAAATCGAATTTCGTATGGACTAGAAAAATAAAATTTTTTTTTATTTTTTCAAAGTCAATACTAATTACTTTACTTTTCTCTATCCATTAATTTCGATCGTGCAACAAAATCTTCAGCAGTCTTACCAAAATCATTGATGGCATTTCGAAGTGGATCTTAAAAAGAGTTTCAACTATTTCATAAGAATGCTAAAAACAATTATTTTTATACCGAGAACAGTAGGATCATTTGGTTTAAGATTGTTCATAGCTTGCATAAGTGTTGTTGTATATCGTGTTACATTAAATTGTAAAACAGGTGTCTCAGATAGAAGTAATACTAGAACACCTATAAATTGTCCCATTGTTCTATGAGCCTAATTAACAATTAAGTAAATATACAATGAAATATATGGCAGAAGACCCTAACTGTAAAATCGGGATCAACAAATTTTTTCATCATTGAAAAGACTTCATAAGATGTGTGATAAAGTGGATGTGACGCTATATTTCTTTGCTCAGCTGAATTGTAGGTATATCTTGCATCCATATTTGATGAGCCAACCAATTGATCAAAACTAAAGTAGTCACTACCTGATCCACGATCGTATGTTAATCTACACAAATATGATTATAAGAGCTTGAGTTAAATTTACGTGTTTACTTTGGTTCATCAGTTATATTATTTCGATTAACACGCATCCATTTATCATAGACAGTTTGTCCAGGAGCATCGTAGGCACTTGGAACCTATACTTACAATAAGAAGAAGAAGAAGAAAGAAGATTGTTTGGTTATGCTCACCATTTTGGATGCTTCAACAATAATATCAAACAACATTGGAGCGGTTTTGACTAGAATCGTATGGTTTCCTTTTTCGAACACAATTAAAGTAATTATTTCAAATTTTATTCTATGTGGTACCTTGTACTGCACTATCTACATTCAAATAAGAAACAATTCGTGCACCCAATACTTTAACATATTCCTTAAATAACATAAAATTATAGTTGTTTGATAATCTTTAATATTTACAAACACACCTGAACATATTCCATTGATCCAATGAGTCCATATTCTTCTGCTCCCCATGAACAAAACATTAAGCTACGTCTTGGTCGAAATCCTATTATAAATATATGTTAATTTCATAATTATTTGGACACGAACATCAAGATTTACCATTTTTGTACATTTCACCAAGTACTCGAGTTATTTCTAGCATAGTAGCTGTTCCACTTGTTGGATCAATCGCACCTAAACTCCAAGCATCTCTGAAAGATAACAAAAATATTTTAATTACAGAGGTGCAACACAAAAAAAAACAAACAATGGTGAAAACACTACTTAACAAACATTCGAATAAGTCCTATCTTACCGATGGTTGCCCATTACAATATATCGGTCTAGGAAGACAAAGAATTTCGTATGGTAATTGAACAACGTTCGACATACCTGGCTCGATGTCTCCTTCCATTATTCCAATCACATCATATGTATCCTTTCTTTGAAGTTTATTGTATGTTTTAACTTCGATCGTTCTATTGAAAAGAAATAGCGGCACATGATTGATATTCAAATTGATTCATCTTACGATCCATTATAAAGCTCTCCTCCATAACGATATGTCACATTTTGAAGAGCTCCACGCCATTCTACCGGTACTTCATTACCTCCGAGATATCTAAATACGACATTTTCTATCGTCCGCAAATAATTGAAAACTAAGCTTTCTTACTGTAAAATAATTTGAGCTTCAGCATAAGCAATAGGTTGAGCAGGAATTCTAGGTAAATATTTCACATTTTCTTCTTTCAATCGGTACATGTAATCTTTAAAAAAATAAAAATTGTAGGTTAACTAAAATAAGACTGCAGTTAACTAACCGGTAGATGGATATATAGGTGTGAGTGGATCACCATCCAAAATTAATGCAGAGCCTCGTTGTGCACCACTTGGAGGCATATACCATTTTTGGTCATATACCTGATCAGCTGTTGTTCCAAACGGAGCATAGTCCGCTGGATCATTATATAATATAGCACCTATAGCTCCAAAATATTGAGCATGCATTATCTAAATATCATTTGATGATTTAAAAATAGAATTTCTTATACAAACAAGGCAAGAAATCTTATACCTTATCTCCTCGAAAAATGCTACCATATCTCATAATAATGATACTTCCTTGAAGACTCGCATTTCCAACAACAGATGCTAATTTTTGAAGATCTTCCAATGCACCATAATTACCGTAGAATAACTTTGTCTATTTTATCAAACACAAAGTTCACCTTCAACATGAAATCAAATGTGCTCAAATTGATATTCAACTTACACTATTAACAGTTCCATTAGGTGTATGAGCAAGAAATGGATTTACTGTTTTTGGTTGTGTTGAATTATAGACTTTTTCGGTTCCATTGGTTTGTATGATGACTGAGCCATCATCACTTGTGAGAGTAACTCTTAATAGAAATAGAACACAAAATAAATAAAGATAACTATTGACTTTTATATTCACCGATTTAGATTATTATCATCTGGATATGAAAGAAGAACATTATATTTTGGTTTTATCACTAGGAGACCATCATTTTTCCATCGTTCTGCAACGACTTCAGCACTTTCTAAATCTTCAGGTAGACCAGCTAGATGAGGGCGTGAAGTTAGATCTCTGTATCATTATGTAATATGGATGTTTATATTGAAAAGAAAGTGTAACTATATTTACTTCAGATTCGCTTCAATATTAGCTGCTTGAACAGAATCAATAAATGTTTGGTAATTTTTTTTATCAGCCTGTCTTGTAAGACGGTCATACTTCCAAGTGTCATGATTTTGTTGTTTTTTTATTACAAAATATCCAATAACGATACCGACGCCCAAAGCAATAACTCCCACAAGTGCAGTGACGAAATAATAACGCTGAAAATATATGTTTCACACTACTCGTTATAACAAAACTATTCAACAGTACTTTATTCATAGCAGGCAAAATTTTGTATTCACTTGAATTCTTATCTGTGTGTCTAATATTGCAGGTGGTTTTTGATTTGAATTATTATCATTGCAAATGTTTTGGCTTATATGACACTACTTTACATGCCTTTTTTTCTGTTTTTGACGCTTCTTTTGCTTATCTCTCCTTCATATCATTTTTCGTTCTTTCTTGAACTTAGACCTTATTTTTCGTTGACATATAAAGACCTCACATATTTGATGCATCAGTGTAGTACTTTCAGTTCAACAACTGAAAACAGGATAAAATTAAATATATAGTTAAACATTAGCATCCTAGAGGATGTCGGTATGGGTGTCGATCATTTTTCTGTCACACCCATCCCAAAAAGGATATGCTAATTACGACCTTTTGACATTGATACGGAGCCATACTTGATTCTCTTAGAAAAGCTTACACTAGAGTGCGTCTCTGATTTCAGGTATCACTCGTACACATAATAGGGAATAATTTCTGCATCTCTAGAGCAAAATGGGAAAAAATAAAAAGAAGAAAAGACTTCGAACCAGGTATCTACCTTATCTTATCCTTCTATTACTCTTTTTCCTTATCATGTTGTGTTTCATGACTTTTTACATAATGTTGTGAAAATAAACGAAGAGTATTTTTATTAACCTATTTTGCCAAACATCACAACAAAAAAATTCCACAAACAGGCAGATTCTTTCAAAAAACAAGAAAGAATGGCTCGAACAGTAACCTTGCCGGCAAAATTTCGTACTGTTGTTATCGATTCAAAAATTGAACTAATTCAACTTGATTTGAAATTAGAACCAATCTCAAAGGAAGCGATCGAAGAAGTCTGGTTACCAAAAAGTAGAAGAACGTCAAGATCTAAGTGAGCAAGCTCATGAGAACAACTAACTATTTGTTGAACATGCTGGAGACAAAGAATTGTTGGCCGTCCATGAGTCACCTATAACGGTTGCTGAAAATGACTGGAGTCAATTCTTTGGTTCAACAAAAAAGTGAAATTGATGAAAATGTTAAAGGTGAAACGACAGGTCAAGTTGAAGCTCTCCTATCTGCTTCTTGTATTATGCATACGTTCAAGCCCTATTTTAATTATCGTAAGGTAATGGAGTGCATTTGTGAAATATGACAAATACACTTTATGGGTAAGTTATGGTGAATAAAGAATGTGTCGGAAAATTGTCACTCGAGTCAATTGCAAAACAATGTATAGAAACTTTTTTCATGAACGTGTAAAACAAACTCTTGAAACAGCATACTTAGAAGTTGTAAACTATACAAGTCAAGTGAATGAAACATAAATCTTTAAATATAAGGTCTTTGAGT